TGATTTTGTTTTTTGGTGCAAAGAGAACAGCTTTAGATTTAGAGGCATTTACCGTTAAGGAGCTATGCTTGGAAAAACTAACAACAGTGGCTAAGTCACAATTCAACTCGTCAACAGCTGCTACACAGTCATCTGGATCAAAAGTTTTACATATTTGTGTATCATCCGCAAAAATCATCACTTCAGAGGAGCGTATCAGTTTACACATGACTGATATGTAAATGGAGAACAATAGCGGTCCTAAGACAGAGCCTTGAGGAACCCCTGATATCACATTCTTATATGTCGAATATGAGTTGTCCAAATGTACCCTTTGCATACGATTCATGAGATAACTAGTAATGAACTTGATAGATGCTTGAGAAAATCCAATATATTTGCATTTTGAGATCAAAAGTGAATGATTGATAGTGTCAAAAGCCTTGGAGAAGTCAAGCAGTGCAAGAGCCGCTGCTTGACCCCGATCCAAAGCCTCAACAATATCATCAGTCACCTTAAGCAGGGCAGTGGTGGTGCTATTCCCTACTTTGAAGCCAGGCTGATATATATATATATATATTTCTATATAACTTTCATATATTTTATGAATAGGGCGCCATGAACTACCTATTATATTTGAATTATGAAATTTGGGTAGATATAGACAAATATAATGGTAAATCGATATTTTCCGGCGTACGCCATACGGAATTTAGGATGACGTTATTTGCTGATCGGGTTTCTCCAATTGAACCCTTTCATTTGATACCCACATCATAGCGGTGACCATGGAAATAATAACTCACCATTCAGCGGCCACCGCCATATTGGATCTAGAACTTGGCTTATTATGTTTTCCTCATCAAGCCCCTTCATTTGATACTCATATCATAGGAGTGACTGTAAAAATTTAAATCGCCATTTTGTGGCGGCAGCCATATCACATTCGGAATGACGTCACTTTGTTTATTGTGTTTTTCTCATTGAGCCCTGATGAATCGCCATTTCGGCGCATTGGATTCAAAATGGCGGCAGTTGATTCATTTGGTATTGTCACGCAAATCAAGCGTCTGCACAAAAGTTAAGCCCGATTGGTTAAGGTTAACTGGTTCAAAATTCAGTTCAAATATTTGTTTCACACATACTAACATACGAGGAGCAGACTTTCTGGATGCATTTTGTCCATTTCACATAGACGCCATCTTTGTTTTCTGTCACCGACATGTCATTTTGTTAGTTGAATGTTTACCATTGATCGCTATGGAGTCGTATTCGATTGAAGACCGCATTAAAGTTATTCAAAAATGGTGCAAAAATAAAAAACACGTTTCGCGCGCTTCGTGAATATTTCGGTCGCAACAACCGCCCAAACGAAACAACAATCGGTCGTCTGGTGCGCAAATTCCAGGCAACAGGTTCTGTGGCAAATCTGCCAGGCTCTGGCCGGCCAAGGAGCGTTCGCACACCGGAAAATATTGCTGTTGTGAAGGAGAGTGTGAGAGACGATCCGAAACAATCAACAACGCGTCGATCCCAAGAATTAGGCATTTCGAGAACCAGTTTGCTCCGCATTCTCCACAAGGATTTGAATGTACACGCCTACAAGATCCAATTGACGCAAGAGCTGGGTCGGGCCGACCATTTTTCGCACCGAACGTTCTCAGATTAGCTCCTTGAACACCGCAAAATTGATGCCAATTTTTCTTCAAAAATCATGTTTAGCGACGAAGCGCATTTCACTTTGAATGGGACGGTAAACAAGCAAAACTGCCGCATCTGGGCGAACGAAAATCCCCGTGAGTATCAAGAGCAGCCGATGCATCCTCAAAAAGTGACTGTGTGGTGAGCATTGTGGTCAAAAGGCATCATCGGACCTTACTTTTTCGAAAATGCGGCCTGGGACGCCGTTACCGTCGATTCTGAGCGATATCACGTGATGATAGAGGACTACTTTTTGCCGCAACTTGAAGGAATGGATATGGACGATGTTTATTTCCAACAAGACGGTGCAACATGCCACACAACCAACGTCAATATCCATCGATTGCAGTCCTTCTTCGGTGATCGCGTGATTTCGCGCAGAGGAAATGTGCCATGGCCACCAAGATCGTGCGATTTGACTCCCTTGGACTTCTTTTTATGGGGATATTTGAAAAGCAAAGTCTACGTCAACAAACCAGCCACCCTCCAAGAACTCAAAAACAACATCATTGCCGAGATAAATGCCATAGAACCGACCATGTTGCAAAATGTCATTCAAAAATTTCGACCATCGCGTGGACGTCTGTAAATCCAGTCGTGGTGAACATTTGAGCGATATTATTTTTCATACATAAATGGTATAAATGAACCTTCTAAATAAAGTACCCAACTTGATTTGAATATCAATCTTTATTGTTTTAATATGCGTTTACTTTCCTGCGCCCATTTTTTACAACCCCATAGTGTTTATTATATCCTAAAAAACTGTCGGACAAACTGCATTTAGATTGTCTACCTGGGACAAAATGCATTTTGGTTACTTGCACAAAGTCAGATGACTGACTATCCAGTAAAGATTTAAAAAACTTACGAAGACCTATGCCATATTTATCTGGTAATTTTACATGTCCTCAACGTCATCATTACTGCAATCGCATAACATGTCAGCATCTTTCGTCCTAGTTAACTTGATTGTCATTTCATTCGCGATTATCAGGAAGGATTGGCTGCAACCATGTTAATTCAGGATTCTTGACCCAATTTGCCCCTGACAGTTCCACGAGCAGTTTCGAGAGGCTCCGTAGTTTTTTTGTTTTATTATCACTTTGAAGCGTTACAACAGGTAACTGTATAGACGAAAGCTTCTTTCCGCATTTTAGTAAGGTTTGAAATTGGAGGGATCCACATCTCTGTAAAACAACAGTCTTAAGCAAAATGTTGTTTTGTGGTGTCTTAATAATTTGTTTGACACCACTGAGCCCTTCAATTTACTTTAAATAAGTTAACGAAGTTTTTATATCGTAAACAACCCACTCTTTACCAAATTGTCTAACGTCTCTCTTCTTGTACTGTAGGATCGTGTAACTTTTTCTGTTTGTCGGAAAACACGGTCTAATGGCAATTAGTCCAGTCCGCAAGGACAAACTTCTGTTAGTTTGTCTACCGCTAATGGACATACAGCACATAGAGAGTCCAAGGAATTTTTCATTTAATTTGCTTGGGACAACATCCATTTAGAACGTCTTTTGTGGCATAGCATTGTAGAAGTGTATATCTAGTTTGCGAATCCATATTTGGTTTTTTATCAAAATCAACATCTTAACTGAATGATGAAATGTTTGACTCTGTGCAGGAAGGACAATGAGCTATGCTAATCATTATGCAAAATAGACTGTTGACACCTTTGTTGGTTTTTTAGTTATTTCGTTTTCATTAAAGTATCTTATTCTTAGCATTTTATGTAACACAAAACCCAAAATTTCGAGTTTTATCAACTTGGTTCCATCAACATTTCACAAAGTAATACTTAAATCTGTACTAAAGATGTTTTGGGAACTCTAAATTCCGGGTTCTGAACTTATTATGTCGCATAAAAAAAATAATACATAATATATAAATAAAGTTACTTTTATGCATTAATTCAGTTTTGCCGGTTATTATTTTAATGATTCAATTCCACCCACTGATACTATACAACATGAAACCCTGTCACTTTATTTTTATCAAAAACAACATGGGAACATGTGTGCATGTTGCATGCACACGTGTTCCCTCGCCAGAGTCCGTGTGGCGTTCCCCCTTTCCCATGTATCCCCCTATAGCCTCACGGTAGCCAATGGGTGCTTAGGCCTTAGGCCTTCGTGGTAGTTGAGGTATAAAAAAAATAAAAAAAAACCTTTTTAGCTGAAGAATGAAATGTTCAACTATGTACAGGAAGAGCGAACGGTGATAACAATAAGCAAAATACATTGTCGGCACCTTTTTTGGTTTTTTAGTTTTTTTTCTCATTGAAATATTTTATTTTTAGCAGTTTGTGTAACACAAAACTCAAAATATCGATGGGGTAGCAACATTTTACAAAACAATGCTTAAAACTGAATTAAAGACGCTTTGGGAACTCTAAATTCATTCTCTGAATTTATAATTATTTCAATACATGATATAAATGAAAGGAAACATTAATGTTATGCCCAAATTCAGTTTTTTCTGTATTTTTTTAATGATTTAATTCCACCAACTGATACGGTGCAACAAAACGAGATCCTGGAATTTTTAGTCCCCAAAGAGTTCAAGTTTAAGAACTATTTTGTAAAATGTCGATGAAACCAAACTGAACACCTTTGAAATTTTAAGTTTTGTATCATATAAACTGCTAAAAATAAGATACACGACACTGTTTAACAAAAAAAAAGAGGCGCAATCGATCTATTTTGCTAATTGATTAGCACCATCAACTCGATTTTTTGTACATAGTATAACATTATGATATGCAGCTTAAGAGGTGTTGATTTTGATAAAAAAACAAAAAATTGAAAAAAAGTCCGGCACTGGATCTTTCAAATGACTTAGGTTACTCTTAGATAACTTTGTTATCGTGCACACTTTTAACAAAATCTATTCAATAGTGCTTGAGATATGTGATATTAAAAATTTGTCGTGTTTAGATGATATCTGTAAAAACTGAATTTAGAACCTTTTTTTTTTTAGGTATGTCAATGCAAAATATTGATTTTTGGTTTTAAACAGACGACACTCGGTACACTGGGGGTAGTTAGGGATGCTGAATATATGTATATGATAATCAAGTATCGGGAAATCCTATTTTGAGTGGAAAGGATTGAGCTCTTAGGCGTCTTGTAAATCTCAGCGGAAAACTGGCTACATATTCATAATCTTAGCACCCGATTTGCTCAGGAAGCGGAGTATGGTCGAGAGAAACACTTAAAATTAAGAAAAATTTCATTAATCAAAAGATCAAAACATTTAAATATGTTCAACAAAATAGGTTATTCTACACCCGGTATCTGAAACACTAGCCATCATGTCTTGACACAATGAATTTTTGACGTTCCGAACCTTCAAAATTTTTTGTACAAGACCAACTTCAGGCCGACCCTAATTACAAAATTCTCGTGAACCTCCTGTTCAAAATTCCAGTGACTAAATCCCATCAAAATGGTGTTTGTATGCCCACCAAAGGAAGAAACTGAAACCAAAGTGAAACTACTGAACAATTTGAAGAATGCAATCGTAGAAATGGAGAAATCGTCGCAGTCGGGTGTGAGCCCGATCTGTCTTCCGTGCTATGTTCCTTTGGAAGATATATCCATCTGTATGCCTTCTGCAGCAAAGCCAAAAGAAAGTGTTGGAGGTGATTTTTGTCCACCAAATGTGATGGTAGGCACCAATGTTTTCATAATATCGACCGAACTTAGTTTTTTGACCTGCTCATCTGCCTTATAAGATGTCTAAAAAGTATTTCAAAAATATTTTTCCTAAAGAAAGATATTTTAGAATAAAGTTGTAAGTTTTGAAAAGGGTCACCTTATGGTGTCCTTAAGCAGGACTTTCAAGATCATTCAAAAATCAAGGCTGATCGATTACAGCTCCTAAGGCCTCAAGCCTCAACCGTAAATTTACTCGCTATTTTCTACCGATACGCTAAAGAAACTTGTCCCACTAAGCTTCCACTCTTTATGCAAGGCAGGCGTACCAGGCCTTTGTTTCCCATTTTAACTCTTTAAACCTTGCAGAAACTATTTTTATGGTATGATTATTTAAGGTGTGTTACAAAATATGCCAAAAGGACCCTAAACCAGAAACTAGAGTAAATCAACAAATTGAAGTCGTTCGTAGAGTACGCCAGTCAAAGTCTAGAGAACTTCGTGCCAGTATTTTATATACTGGTTGTAACTGCGAGAAAAAAGACGGTTAGACATTTTTATTTCTAGATTATTTCTTCTAAATTCAAGGTATACATTCTTGGGAATTCGTCAATTCAAAACATTTATTATAAATACAACGTTAACGCCATCTCAACCCCTACTGAGAGGGGCCGTGGCAAATTAATGCCCGTTCCAGGAGTTGTTGTATTCAGTATACAACTTCTTCCCGTTCAAGCGATTGTACACGCGTTAAGTAATACCAACCAACCAACGGGCCACTTTAGGTCTATTCAACGTCATTAACACGCAAAAAGAAGGTGGTAGACAAGGACCAGTCGACCGAGGCGGTACCACCCGCTAGGTTTTCTCAGGGTGTCTTATAAATGTCTGCATGTTTCCACACTTAAACTATGCTGTCGGTTATCTTAGAAAACAAAGAAATTAATGAAGATGGACTCGAGTACTAAGAATTCCGGACGTAAACTCACTCCACTCTCGGAATGTCCGGGTGGAGGGTGGACTCGAGGAAACAACATCGAGGATAAAATTTGTTTCATGAGCATCTGCAGGATTAATAGCAACATTGATGTTTTCTTGGCAGAGACAAAAATCTCAGAGTCTGCACCGATTAACCATCTTAGCTTCCCAAATTACGCGGTGCACTCCAATCTGAGAAAGAACGGGGGAGCTGTGGCTTTTGTCCGCAACAGTCTGTCCTGCTCTAGGGATGTTTCTTTGGAATCAGACCGGAAAGACATTCTCTGGCTGCACCTCAACTCCAAAACGTCCCTTAAATTTATATAATTTATATTATATATTTATATAACTGGGATGGCCTAGTTGAATACCTCGCCGTCAAGATCGACCCGTAATGAGCTTTGGTTGGACTCAAAGAAGACCAACGCAGCAGGTCGTGCAGTTGAAGCAACCACTACAGGCCTACGGCTCTGCTTTCTGTTATAATTAAGATGATGGAGAGGTGCATAGTTTCTTGACTGCCTCGAACATCAAGGCTTGATTAGCGACAGGCAGTATGGTTCCCGGCACCAACGATCCACCTCTTTGCTTACGCCATGCAATTGTGAGGCTGATGTCGTTGCTCTTGATATCGCGGAAGCGTTCGATCAGCTGTAGCACGCTGCACTCTTATGCAAACTTCCATGCTATCACCTACCAGAAAAGCCTTGCAGATGGGTGGCTGATTTTCTCTCTGGTCGCAAGATATCCGTCATAATTGACACTACCTCCCGCAGCGCCAACGCGGGTGTTCCCCACGGATCGGACTTGGCTCCGACACTGTTCCTTTTACATATCAACAACCTCATTTCCTGCATGATCTACCCAATCCACAGCTTCGCTGATGACAGCACTCTACATGCAGGAATTCAGAGTGACAAGCCGATCTCTGCCGCTGAGCTGGAAAAAAGAAGACTACCGACGATTTCCTCTCTGACGAGAAACCTGGATGATATCACTGCTTGGGGACGAAACAATCTTGTGCAGTTTAATGCTTCCAAAACACTTTACTGTACTGACGGACAAAAAGCGTGCTAGAGCTCATCCGCTTCCGATGGATAGCTGTGTTCTGCCAAAGAGCCGTTCATTTCGGCTGGTCGGTGTCTAGATCAGCGAAAACTTGATCTGACACGAACACATCTCGTCAAGAGCGGCAGTTGCTGGGAAAAAGCTAGGCTATTTGTTTAGGGCTAAGAAGTTCTTTTCTCCGCATGACCTATACAAGGCCTAGCATCTAGTATTTCATTATTTATGCTCGCTGATATCTAGATAAGGGCTGTCCGACTGATCGATGACTCTTCTTTAACAGACAGTCTCGGGACCCTTTCGAACCGGCGGGCCGTCGGCGATCTAGCTCTTTTCTACCGCTACACCAACGGGCTTTGCTCCTGAGAGCTCTCTTCCATGATGCCGCGGCGCGATGAGTCTGCCAGACCGACCCGCCTGACTTTGCCCTCCCATCCTAACCGTGTCGAACTTCGTATATCCAGAACTGGCCGATACCACCGCTCTTTTGTTCCGAAGGTGTCGGGCTTGTGGAACGATCTACAAGAGCAAGCTTTTCCCAGTTCTACTAACCTCAGGCAGTTCAAAAATTGGATTAGCAAAATTTCGTTAGGATCCTCATAGCAGCCGCGGCATACATATGATTTTCCTTGTTGGCCTACAGTCAAACTTAACATCTGTCTGGCAGAAATCTGATTACTCCCTACAAATAAAGAAACACATGTTCCTGAAGATGTCTTTTGAAGTCGTCGAAACATTTATAACGAATGTTTTAAATTTACCGAATAGCAAGAATTTATAACGTGAATTGGTATTAACGGTCACGAATACAAAACTGCATTATTTTTTCACTCAATCCAAATAAGAATGTTACTAATTAGGTCTCCAAGATGACTGTCCCAGAACTGTTTGTCACGGCTCCCCAGAATGTCTGACCCAACCACCGACTTGTGGCCCAAGTGAATTCTGTAACGGCAAACATTTGGGCAAAAAGGGCTATGGGTCAAAGTACGTAGGCAAGAGAGAGGATGAAGGAGATAGCAAGAAAGGCAGCAACGCCAGATACAAATGTTTTCCTGCTGTGGTACAACCTCCTGCATGCTGCTGTCCGTTGAGCTAAGAGCTAAAGTGTAGTATAGTGATCGTGTACTAATGTGAAAAATAAATATATGTTTTCGGATACATTTTTCTGCAATAATTTAGTTTGGATGTGTGTATTTCAGAAGACGTCACTGTAAGACCGATTCAAGGCCGGACACCCAAAATATCCAAGTTTAAAGTAAGACAGCACAAAGTGCCATCTATTACCAGAATCGACGACTACGAAAGCGAAAACAGCAAGCTGTTGGTACTGTATGCCAGTTCACGTATCCTGCCGGTTTATCACTGTGGCCGCTAAATGCCGCCGATTCCGACGCTATAGTGGATACGGTCATTGATCAAACTAGTAATATAGCTGTCGTTCGTCCGATCACGGCCAACCATGGGCAGCTGTTGCTTTGGCAACTCTTCATCATGATGTAGGCTTGATCTCTCTCGACAGCGAACCAAAGCTGAGTAACTCTACTCTATTCAGAGTACAAGGTCTATCGAAATAAGTGCCATCTACTACCAGAATCGATCACTGCGAAAGTGGAAACAGCAAGGCTCCATTTTAGGGGGTATTGTTATTGTAAGCCTTTGTTGAATGTATATCCTGCGTGTTACATTTCTTAAAATCTATAAAGATTTCTTGTCTATGGCACAATGGTAACCTGGTGTTAATATTTGGCAAAATCCGAAAGGTGATTTCAAAATTATAGCGGGGCCGAGCATCAGCGGACAAATTGGCAGTCAGACAGACAGATGGAAATGAATGATAGTTTTTCGTGTCGTACATGTTATGTAACATAAAAAAAACAATTATCCTATCAGGCGTGGAAAATAAAATGGTTTTTTTGGAATTCAAATAGTCTCTAACATGTTGCCGAAGAAGTGTCGAGGAAAATAAATAAAATAGAAATACATATTCAGGAAGTTTTTACTTAGTTGTTAACTTAGCTGTTAAAACGCACTAAAAATTATAAATATTTTTTTTGTGGTTGGAAATATGCCGTTCCAATACTTCTCAACCTTTGAACAATATTAAAGCTTATTCATCTAACGTTTTCAAATAAAAGAGTTACATTTTAACTGTAAGAAGGGTATAACACACGCTTTTATTTGAAAACTTGAGACGAAGGATCTTCACTATTGTTTAATTCAGAAAACATCATTTCTGAATTTATATTTCGTTTTAACATATAAACAAAAGATTGCTTTTAAAAATGTATAATATATTTTATCATAATATTTTTTACTTCTTAGAATTTATGTCTTATAACTATACTAAGTGACATATAAATCCGAACACCCAGTTTAAATGGTTTTATTTTAATAAAATTTTGTATAAGTACTTAATGAAGCATAATAAGTAAATGATAAAAATTTCAAAATGATTGCACTGCTTTAAAGCCCTTTGATCTTTAATAATCTGTGGATGCACCCTGATGTGCTACGCATTCTCCAACGCGCCTAGGCATGCTTCTGATCAGGTGGTCAATGTCCTCCTGTGGTATCTCATTCCAGGCAACCACCAACTCCTCTCGAAGTGCTTCTAGAGTCTGAGGAGGACGTTGCAAATTGAGCAATCTCCTACCCATCATATCCCACACGTGCTCAATTGGGGATACGTCGGAAGATCTTGGTGGTCATGGTAACAATGTGACATCATTATGTTGAAAGAAGTCTATTGTGACTCTTGCAACATGTGGTCGGGCATTATCTTGTTGGAAAGTTGGATGTGCCAGGGTGTCAAGATAGGGTAAAAGATGGGGTCTAGAACTTCGTGGATATAACGCTGCGCGTTCATGTTACATCTGATGAAGATTAAAGGTGACCTGGAACCATAAGCTATAGCACCCCAAACCATAACTCCAACAGTGTGATGAACATGTCTTTCAACAAAAAACTGTGGATTCCTCCTTTCATCACGTCGCCTTCTAACCCTGGCACGACCATCGTGCATGCCTAAACAAAATCGAGACTCGTCACTAAGGACAATACTGTTCCATTCCTGATCCCAGAGTGACCGTTGTCTGCACCACTCAAGGCGATTACGTCGGTGTTCTCGAGTTAATGGGAGGATCCAGTGTGGCCGGTATGAAAACAAGCCAAAACTTCTCATTCATCGGTAAACACTTCGCATGCCAATAGGTCTTCCGTGTTCTGCAAACCATTCATTTGCAATGGACCTGGTAGTGGAGAAACGGTCCCTTAAGGCCAATAATCTTAGGCGGCGATCTTCACGGTCTGTTGTTCTACGGCGGCGTCCAGTGCCCCTTGCTCTTTGCGTACGGCCTTCTCGAAGCCATGCCTGACAACACCTAACCACAGTGTCTACACTTCTTTGCACTCTAACTGCAATTGCCCGAAAAGAACAGGTCTCCGTACTCTAGGCATCGTAACCGATCGTAAAGGATGTCAAGAACCAAAATCCGCCAACGTTGATTCTTTACTGCAGCTGAAATATTCATTTTTAGAGCGTTAGTGAATTAAAAAAAAGCAGTATAAAAACCGGAATGTCCAACTGATAAGGCTGAAAATTTTTTCACTTGTTATTTACAGTAAGATAAATAAAGGGTGTCTCATAAATATTTTCTTATTTTATGCCATAAATAAAAATACTTAGAATATTTTTACAAAGATAAATTTATTACCAAACGAAAGCCTAAACATTAATTTTATTTATGGAAAAGAGTATCGGATAAATGATCACCGTTCATGTTTTCACACTCTCTTAATCTCGAACTGAAGTTTTCGATCACTCTCCGAAGCATTGCTCGAGGAATGGCGTTTATTTCATCTGTTATTTTTTGCTTCAACTCTCTCAAATCTTGTGGCGGTGGGGTATATACCTTACTCTTCAGGTATCCCCATAAGAAAAAATCTGCTGGTGTCAAATCGGGACTTCTCGGTGGCCAGTTAATGTCTCCTCTGCGACTGATGACCCTCTCTGGGAATAACTGATGAAGAGCATCCAAGGATTCATTCGTGACATGAGAAGTCGCTCCATCTTGCTGGAAAAACGTGTTTCTATTGTAGCCACCATGGTTCTGTATAGCTGGAGTTAAAAAAGTCCTAATCATGTGGCAGTAGCGCTCAGATGTTACAGTTTGAGCTTGGCCACGATTGTCTTCAAAAAAATACGGGCCAATGATTCCTTGCCCTGACATAGCAGCCCAGACGATAACTTTAGGCGAGTGTAATGGCGTCTCATGAAGATTTTGCGGGTTCTGCTCGGCCCAATATCGGCAGTTTTGTTTATTAACATGCCCGTTATAATGATTTCTGTACAAACGACGTACAAGCACATAAGAATCCTTGTTTTTATAGAACTCGCGAACACAAAAAGCACGTTGCGGCACTGTAAAACGCTCCATTGCAACTAAAATTTAACAATGTTGCCAAACGTTTGTCAACTGTCTCGTTTCTCCGGAGCATGCGTATTCCGCCAGAGGACTGATCTAAAAGCGAAAATATTTCTGAGACACCCTTTACATTCACCAACTTTTATTAAAATAAAACCATTTAAACTGGGTGTTCGGATTTATATGTCACTTAGTATAGTTTTATAACGGCCTCACCTCAACTTGCTGGACCTTGCTTGCGTTTGATGTGCCGCTTATTTCAGATTGAACCTTACTTGCGCCTAGGGAAACTTAGTCTCGGTTTGATTTTGGAGTTTTCCTTCTAGATAGAGACCCATGCTGACGATGCCTAACTCACCAAGTCGTTTATGGTACAGATATTTATTTGAGTCTGTGTATGCATACAGATAGATAGATAGATAGATAGATGCTTTATTGTCTTCGGATCATAGGTATGATATAAGACTCGTCAGACATATCTCTATAAGTACATTATTATCTACAAAAATTAAAAATATATTTACGTATCTATCTAATTAGATTAAGAATAACGTCACCTTGCTGATAGTATTTAACTCATGAAGCCCTTTCATTAGATACCCACATTACAGATGTAATCAGAGAAATGATAAATAGCCATTATGTAGCATCTGCCAAATGGATTCAAATTCATCTCAATTGGTCATAGTTGACCGATTTAAAAATGGTGTAAATCGCCAATTTGAGGCCTCTGCCATATTGAATTTCGAATGACGTAGCTTTGCTGATAATATCCAGCCCATCAAACTCATTTGATTCCCATATTATAGATGTGATTATGGAAATGATATTCATAATGTCATTTTTTAGTGTCCGCTATATTGGATTAAAAATGGCGGCATTCAATTGATTGCGTATTTTCATGAGAACCAAACCTTTATATAAAAGCTTAGCTCTATTAGTCAAGGCAAAAAACTAAAGAGCGTGCAAATCGCTATTTTGTTACGGCCGTCATATTGGATTTAGAACGACGTCACATTGCTTATTGTGTTTCTCTCATTAAGCCTTGCATTTGATACATATATCCTAGAGGTCACTAGGGAAGTGATTTTGTAGCATCGGCCATATTAGTTTCAAAACGGCGGCATTCAACTTATTCTATATTTTCACATGAACTAAAAGTGAATATAAAATTTCAGCTCAATTTATCAAAATTAACTTATTCAAACTTCAGTTTTTCATTTGTCCCACGCATGCATATCAACAGCATAATAACATACTACCAACAGGTCAGGTTAAATAAAAGTTAAAAAAAGCGACAAGCGATTTGTTAGTATGAAAGGTTGCCTGACAACAATGTACGTCAACTGGCGAGAAAAAATCTCTCGCCTATAATCTCGAACAAAAAGCAGACGAGATCGAGACGCCCCCTCACACAGAAAACCTCCTTTCAACGTTCTTTTCTCTCAGAGCTTCCGCGCACATCATTTAAAGCAACCCATCTGTAACGACTTCGCACTCTGCTGGAAATAGACGGCATCAGGAAATTGCCTTTTTGCATAAGGGTGGGTCCACTAAAAGCTCTCCATAGGAAGGGAAGCGCTTACTTATGTGATGTATCAGGATCTCAATTTGATTTACATCCTCTACCATTATTCATGGTCTAGGGAGTGTGAGAATGATAACCATTGAATATTTCATTGCCATACTTAGGGCAGTTTGTCACTGTGGACTGATTTTCATTTTTCGTAAAGTACACCGTGCCATACTT